ATATTATATATATAATATAGCTATGATATATTATATAATAGTATATATTATTATTATATACTATATATATTATATTATATATATATATTATTAATATATATATAGTTAACTACATATATTATACTTATATTTACTATATTATATATATATATAATATACCCTATTTATATTATTATAACCGAAGGCAAAAGGAAAAAGAAAAAGAAATTGAATTTCAGAAAAAATTTTGGAAACCTAAAAAAACGAAAAACAAAAACAGCAATGAATAGATAATGATAGACAATACGTAGATGAAATAGGAAGAAAACGAGGAGCCAAGTGTCTTAAGAGAGGAAGAGCGAGAGGAGAGTTAGGAGCAGAGAGAGAGAGAGAGGACGATAGTTACGAAAAAGAGAAGTTAGAGGAGGAGAGGTCATGAGTGTTGTTAGAAGACCGAGCGAGCAGAGATAGAGGAGCCCGAGAGAGAGAAGAGAGGCGATGCAGAGACCGAAGAGAGAGAGGAGACGAGACGGAGAGAAGGGAGATTGGAGAGAAGGAGATGACGGAGAGAGAGAGAGAGAGAGAGTGAAAGAGAGTAGGAGAGAGAGTAGCCTGTGAGGTTTCCCTGTGTAGAGAGACGAGAGCAGAGAGAGAGAAGAGAGGAGACCGAGAGAGAGAGAGGAATGAGAGAGAGAGAGAGAGAGAGAGACGAGATGAGAGGAGGAGATAGAGTAAAAAAAATATGGATATTAGAGATGGAAAAGAGGAATGAAAGGCTGAGAAGAAAGAAAGCGCAGGAGAACGAGAGGAACTGGAAGAGAGGAGAGACGAGAGAGGAGAGGAGGAGAGGAGAGAAAGACGATGGTGTGTGGCAGATCGAGATGAAAATGAGGATGACAGGAGCTGGTGAGAGTGAGAAAGGAATGTGTTGGGAAGATGTGAGAGAGAGAGAATATTAGAAAAAAAAGGTAGGAAGAGGAATGTCAGGGGGTAGGAGAGGACAGGAGCGATAGGAGGGTAGCAGAGAAAAAAGACTCAGTTAAAAAAGAAGAGGGGAAAGAAAGAGAGAAAAGAAGAGACGCGAGAAGTATGACGAATGGGGGGGGAAGGAGAGAGAGAGGAGACAAGAAACGAAGAGAAGAGGAGAGGGTAAAAAAAAAAAGGATAAATAGGACCGATAAATTGAGCCAAGGGAACGGGAAAGAAGAGGGAGGAGGGAGACAACACAGAGAGAAAAAAGAACCGCAAAGAAATATGAAGAGAAGAACAGAAGAGAGAGGTGCAGTAAGGGTGAGGACTCCCTATGCACGGGCTCGTTTTCTCCCTTCCTCTCTCTTCTCTTTCGCTTCCTCCTCTCCTTGCTCTTCTTGCAACAAAAGCCCAACTGGTCTAGAATGCAAACTCCGCGTTTCCTTTTGGAGCACAGAAAGCCGCCGACAGAAGAAGGACGAAGGAGGAAGGAGAAAGAGAGAGATAGATAGCATAAGTAGAGACAGAAGGGAGAGGGGGAGAAGGAGGAGAGACAGAAGGGAGATGGGGAAAAGGAGGAGAGGAGGGAGGAAGGAGGTGGAGGAGGAGCGACACGAGGAGGGAACTCACCGAGGAAGAGGCAGAGGGGAACGAAAAGGAGAGAGGCAAGGAGGAGGGGAGGGGAGGAACTCGATTATTTTTTTGGTGGAGGTTTGGCGAAGCGAAAGTAGGAGAGGAGGGAGAAGTGAGAGGAAGGTCAGAAGAGAGTGAGAGGAGGAGGGGATTCACGTGGACGAATAGGAAGATAGAGTAGTGAGGAAGTGAAGGACTCAAGGTAATAGAAATGGTCCCAATATTTTAAGAGCCATCTGGGATACGCTCTGGGAGGAGGGGGAGTTCATGTGTGTAATGTCAGTATGGGAAATTGATTGATGAATTAACTGACGTATTCTCACCTACCCCTGCCAACTTGCGACTGCCACCCTCCGCTCCCTTGCGGCAACGCCGCGGTGCTGTTGAAGTTTCGGCGAAAGCATCGCCAAGTTTTGCGGCGGTTCTCTCGCTCCGTGCGTGGGATCTGTTATTCCCTCAGGCCTCAGATGGCTGGAGGAGAGGGATGTGTGGTGATACGTGATAATGTGGTGTATATGATTTATGGTGGTGTAGTGTGATTATTCAATGCTCTCTCACTGTGTTATGGAGGAGTGTAGTGTATTGAATGTGTGTGTATGTTGAATGTAAAGATGGTGAGAGGGATATGGATAAAATGATGATGGGGAGGTGGGTAAGAGGAGAAGTAAGGATAGGTTGTGGCGCTGTATGTGTATGAGAGGAGAGGATGTGATATATTTGATGTGATGGGGGTATTTGTGATATGTAGGAGGTATGATGTATAAAAAGACTGGAGGAGGGAGGAACAGGAGCAGGAGGGGGCAAGAACAGGAGCAGGAGGGAGGATTCAGGAGCGCGAGGGGTGAGGAACAGGAGCAGTGTTTCTGTGGATGAGTGTTTAGCAGTGAATGTGTCTTAGAGGGGAGGTTAGCTGAATGCC